CATTCCAGCCCATCAGTATATCTGAATCCTATCATGTGAGTTGCCAATTGGTTTTCCAGTCCTCACGCTCAGTATCTGCTGTTAATTTGCTTGCTATTTCAAGAACTTGAAGACTGTCAGCAAAATCCATGATGCATTACAAAACTTATAATTGAAATGAAAAAAATCCAACATCTGATGCTTTTCTGACAGGATAAACACAAAGTCTGAAAACACTGATCGGAACAAGGCAGAGGTACTAACTTGGAGATACTTATATTAAAATACGACTGCAAATGAAGCAGGGGAAGAAATATAGACTTACAGGAATAATCCCAAAGTGATGCAAAATCACTCGATGAAATACCCCAAATTTACACTGGGCTAAAAAGCAAAGAAAAAAAAATGCAGAAAAAAATATTGCACAAAACATTATTTTTAAAGAAGATGACTGAAGCTGTCTATACTTTCTTAAGCCTGCATTATCTATGCCAATTAAAATTTTGCTTCTGAAAAAGAGTTAAGGCACTTCCTCTAGAGTTACTAAAAAAAGCAAATGAAAGCCTTGGCTTCGCAGAGGTGAGCGATAGCGAACCGTTTGTTCTTGACCTCTGGATCACCCTACAGATCAAATTCTTGGACATAGGAAAAACCCACTAGTATTCATTAAAAGCAACTGGGAGGCCAGCTTTGTGCTTCTGTTCTTGAGACCCGAACAAGCTACAACTCAACAAATGTGCAGGATATTGCTGAACAATGCTGCCGTTCCTGTCAGAAGGGAAGAGCTTTATTCCCGGCTTCATTCGGGATGAATTGATTATCATCAGAATAATGCAAATTGCAGATTTCAGTCATTATTTAAATAATAATCAATTTTAATCTTTCATGTTTGTGCTTTTCAGGTATTTCCACAAAGTTGATTCCATTAACCATTAAAATGCATTGATTTATATTGAATTAGCTTTTCTATTAAACATTTTCTTCCCTCAAAAAGATTAATTTATCTGTAGTCATCTAAACAAATATATAGGCTGAAAGTCTTAGGTCTTCAGGTTTACTTTTAATTCTGCTCGATATGGGTGGAATTTGCCCATGTATTTTAATAGCTAAAAATCATGTAAATGATTGCTTCATTAGATTATTTTATACTTACAGCTTGTGACCTTTTTTGTGGAATTTTTATGGAGAACAGAATTTAAAATCCATAAATAGGCCTATTGACACATTATTAATGAAATTAACTACCATAGATTTCTATGCACACAAAGCTTATCAGAATACTTTTCAATTTGAACTATTTTTGGTTTTCAAACAAAATAAAAGCTACCTGTAGAGTTGAATAGCAGAACAAAATAAAACAGAGAAAAATATTCTCCCTGAACAATTCCTTCTGTCAAAACGTGGCTTAAACAAATCCTGGCTCCAGTTAACTGCAGTTCTCTGGTGGTTTGAATGCTTTTAAAGCTTCATTAGAAAACAGACATTGCTTGAATATTTGTATTCAAACCTCTGCAGCACACTATAGTAAATTCAGTCCTTAGCACTGATGAACAATTTCAAATATAATTTAAAAGATCACATGTATTTTAAAATAACAACATTTGAATTTAAATAAAACTTAGACGTATTCACTTATACATATTCAGCACCCAAAGCTGCAGCAAAAACAGACTGTCTCGCCTTACCCTTTTACAGACACATCACTATGAGTTATGCTTATGTATACTTCACAAATGGAGTTTTAAGACTTAAAAGATTCGTATACCCATTACTGTTTGTATTTTTTGTCCTGTTCAATAAATAGCCTCAATCTCAAATTTCCAAAGGAGAAAATGTTTCCGCTGGAATCTTTAAGAGTTTCCACTGCATAAACTATCAATTCTTTTCCCACCAAACAAGCCAGGTTCACAGGGCAAAGTCAGAAGGAAGAGAAAGGAGGGAAATGTTTTTGTGGATTGTGATCTATAGACCAAACGGAAAATCTTCAGCCATTTTGCTCCTTCAAGGTACATCAAAGAATCTCCTATTTAAGGTGTGAAAATGTCAGTTACATTCTCCACCTCTGAAAATGAGCAGAGCTCTGAATGTGATTCATGTCCCACCCTCGCTCTTTTCTCTTGCAGGGGCTGATACTCTTGTTTTCAGCTCCCCTCCAGCTAATGCCATTTAATACTCTCAGAATCATCAGGCTAAATTCAAATTTTCTGCTCCTTAGAGGCTGTTGATATGCACCACCGCACATTCCAATTGCAAACACACATGAATGCTCCCGTGTATTGTAAGTTATTTTCTACATACAAATTCTACTAAATTGTAAGTTAGGAGGCACTACTTGAATTCTCTTAGGTCTTTAGAAAGCTTTCAGATGTACCATGAGTAATAACATGTAATGAATATGGACTGATATTTCTTTCCTGTAGTTACACTGAGTTGGCAATTTACATTTTCTAAATAGATGACTTATAGCCAGTTTTCCCAGGATCCTTGCAATTACTTCTTAGAAACCCCTGACAGGCTGAAACCTCCAGAATCACAGCTGTTATTCTTGGTTTGATCCCTCTTTTTAAATTAAAACCAGTAGCTTTATCAGCAAATGAGATTTTTTTTCCCTCTGGAAATACTTACAAAAATGCACATAAATTGAACATGCCAACTTCTCTCATTTTAGGGTTGGTGCATCTTCTGGGTTAATGACCAGTGTTCCACTTCTGTGACAGAACTAATTGGGGTAAGGAGGTCATAAATACATACAAAACCCCACAAATTCTCTTCATTTGGGGTAATCTGAAGATTTATAGTAGCAGAGTGAGATGGGATTGGAGGGGAAGGATAAAAAATTCAAGAAGTGCTAATAGGCTTGTCTGATCATCGTGTCTCAGTTTCCAGGCACAGAACAGATTCGGAACAGATTTTTCTAGAATGTGACATGACTTTTCCTTTCTCTCAAAGACCAACTAAAATGCAGGAGAAAAGCAAAATTTTCACTTCTTCCAGGGACTAGCTGATCTAAAAAGCCATATTCAAAATGATAGCCTCAACTCCACGCCAACAGTTGCTCAAAACATGCTTCGACAACAGTTTTTCCCAGATGAACACAAATGCAACATCCTTAAAGAGAGATAAGTCTGCACTTGGCTGGAGCTCAGCATGCCTTTCTAGCAATCTAGCTTCATTTCCCATTGATCACTAATTGGAAAAATGCAGTTATCAATGGATTATAGGAAGGAATAATAAGATTTGTCTTCCATGACTAGGTCAGAATACAGGTGCCATTCACCTGTTACGGTTAAAACAACTCAGTTCCTTGATGTGGTGTCCCTTAATATTTCAGAACAAACAGTCTAAATCCATGCGTATACCTGTAAAACAAAAGAACTTCTAAATGTAGCTGGAGACAAAAGGATAACAGATTGCCATTATGGATTCAGGAGCAAAAGAGGGGAAAAAAGATCACTACGTTTTGCCACTAGATATAAATGTAAACATAAAGGCATATCGCACGGTTCTCCATTTCAGAATACCAAGCTCTCTCTTCCCCAAATTTGGATTCCACGTTCTCCGTATTTCTCTAGCAACTCTGTAGTAAGAAGAGTTCATGTAAATCTGCCCCAAAATAAATTTGAAAAGATGCCTACACTTCATAATCATCGGACGTCTGCAGAATACAAGCGCTCCGAGTCAGAGACATACATATGAAGATGCTGAGCACAATCTTAATCTCAGCAGCTAACCTTCCAGCTCAGACAGCTGCTCACCTTGCAGCAAGTCTCAAATCCACCTCACACTACCCAAGGCCTCACATGCCATGGCTTCTTACTTTGAAATGTCTTTAAGAGATGATTCCTAACCTGAATTAAGATCATCTTTCCCAATTACCTCACACTGCAGGATTTAGGGTTAGATTTTTTGAGCGAAGAAATGCCAGGCTGATTTAAACTACTAGCTAAAGGCTGTGACTTAAATTAAAAAAATTAGTGCTGTAAGTCAAGAATGCAAGATATAGAGCTACATCAGAGTTTTCTAGCCAGCACTAACGTACACAATATGACAAAAAAAACAAGCTGTCAGAAGCATCAACGTGTGTGGTGGTGTGTGAATCACCACGGCCTGTGGGCCAAGTGAACAGTCAATGGAGATGAGGCAAAGGGGTAAATGTCCAATATCTGCAGAGGTTTGCCCTATTCTTTGGTTCAACCCCTGCCATTCCCCCATCCTCTCCTACTTTCACATTTAAAGCAAGCCTGACATGAAAAATATAAGTTATAAGACTATAATAAACGCTTCTTACAAGTGAGCATAAATTAGTATCTAAGTACTTCAGCTGACAATTAAGAACACCAAGTAGCCTAAAGGTTATCACCATCACTGAAGTTCAGTTAGTGTAAGAATTCAAAACAAGTGCTACCCAAGGCTCCACACAGAGATATCGGACATCAGAATTAAACAACATGTGGAAGAAACAAGAAGAGTCTCCTTAGTACAAAACTGGACAGCAGTTTTTCCCGCACAAGCTTGTCACGGGGTGAAATGAGATCAAAACTGGCTTGAAATTTCATTATCCCAACTTTACAAGCAAAAGAAAACAATGCCTAGAACCAATCAGAAATAACACTTGAAGCACCTGCTGCATCGTACCTTGTTCTGTGTGGGTGTTAAATGCTACCATACTAATTTGTTAGCACGGTAGACCTAAATACCCGAACACCATACAATATAATGGAGTTTCCTTCCGTAACACATACTAAGATGCCACTGCTGTTAATCCACAAGCACGGAGTAGATATTGAGTCCACAATTTTTTAAGTGCATTCAGCAGGCACAGTAGAAATAATTACAATTCCTTTCATCTTATTTCACACACATGGCTAAATACAACCTATTCATCAAAAAAAACCCACATGGCAATTGTTTCAGGGTGGTTTACAGCGAAGTTTGATACTGTTTTGCAGTGTAATGCCA